GGCGACACTATCCCGAAGCATCTCACCACTGCCCTCGTCCAAACCACCTGGAGGCGGTTCTCTCTGAAGCTCCTGACGCCTCGTGTTTCTGCCTCCAGCCTGGCATACATGCTATCAATGGAGAGGGAGGTCGAGATGCAGATACGGGTATAGGCTGTGGTTCACTCTGTAAGAACTTGCAGAGTGAGATGGGTGTGTGCACGGTTGGGTACCTGGATAAATTCCAAAATTCCGAGGGGCTATTAAAACAGTTTGGTTTGGAGAATGGACAGCACAGTGTAGCTAGAGAGAGAAAAAAAAACAGTTAGTTTTAGAAAATAAAGATATTAATATTGATGAATATAAGGACAACCACTGTTCTGTTCTCCTACAGCACTTTTTAAGAAGTTGAAATATAACTCACATACCATAAAATTCACCGTTTTAAAGTGAACAGTTGAGTGGTTTTCTGTGTGTTCACTGAATTATGCACCATCACCGCTGATTCCAGCACATTTCCTCCCCACAAAAGAGACCTTGCACCTGTGAGCAGCCACCCCCACCCCGCTCCCCGCACCCCAGCCCCTGGACAACACTAGTCTCTTTTCTGTCTCTGTGGATTTGCCTGTTCTGGACATTTCACATAAACAGAATGATACACTATGTGGCCTTTTGAATCTGGCTTCTTTCACGTCGAACATGCCTCTGTTGCCCCTCCTTTTGCCGTGCTGTAGCCGTGCTGTAGGTACCTGTTGAGCCGCCGGCCTTCCGCGCCTCCGTTAAACTTCACGAGGGCAGACTCCATGGCTGCTTCAGTTCAACATTTCTGACCCAGGGTCTCCGGCCTCGCACGGGGTGCGATGCATGTTTGCTGAACAAACACTGCTTTTCCTATTCCAGCGACTCTGGTTGGGTGGTGTTCGGTGTGGTGTTCGGTGTGCCTCTACACACATCGCTCACGTGCCGAATAAAGTGGCAAGTTCTGACTGGCTCTAGATTGAGAGGGAAGAGAGAGATCCTTGCAGCATGAAAGAGCTTGTGCCAAAGAATGGAAATCTCTCCCTCGTTCGGGCTGCTGCAGACTTGAGTAACATTCAGAAATGAAGTGAGGTTGAGCAGAACTATTAACACTTTACATGGTCTGTGTGGTTATATTTCAACTGTATCTGTTCATTTAAATGCATGGTTTAGAAGTTATTGAAGACAGGTGCCCTCTCCCTCCTGGGAGCTTGCCCAGGCCTCTCCCTCCCCCTCATCTTCCCTGAGAGGCGTGGGTCTTCCTAAACTCTAAGGGCCCCATGAGACTTGCAACCAGGGGAGCAGTGGGCAGCAGCAGCTTCTCCTGGACTCACCCCTGTACCTGTCCCCTAGGCCCCCTTTTCTCTGACTTCCCAGTGAGCTAAGGCCGTCCCGCCTAGGCTCTCTCATTGTTTCTGTGCTGACCCTTCCTTGTTTCGCTGCCCCCAGCTTTAATAAACGTCCTCTCAAAATTGCCTGGACTCGTACTGTGAAATCTTTCTTGCACAAGGCCAAGAACCCACACACCAGCAGCCAGCCCGAGGCAGACCCACTGTGGGCTGGTACCTGTCCAGTAACATTCTCTGTCACCACATGTGGGGAAAAAATGAATAGAAACAAGTTATTTTTTTTTATTGTTGTTCAAGCACAGTTGTCTCCATTTCCTCACCTCCCGCCACTCTCCCCCACCCCACCCGCCCCCACCTCCCACCCTCAATCCTACCCACCTTTGGCTTTGTCCACGGGTCCTTCATACATGTCCCTTGATGACCCTTCCCTTCTTTCACCCATTACCCCCCTCCCCCATCCCTTCTGGTTACTGTCGGTTTGTTCTTTATTTCAATGTCTCTGGTTATACTCTGCTTGCTAGAAACAAGTTATTGAAGACACACATTTTTGTAAATGAATTTATGTAAGTATATAATTAAAGTATACTTGGACATTGTATGTATATTCTAATTTCCTGAGAACTGTATTACACACACACACACACACACACACACACACACACGGGGAGCTGAAGCTAGGTTACCAGAATCGAGCCAAGATTCCGTTCCAAAAGGAGCAGCACTGAGCTGTTGGTACAGGCAGGGCAGGGAAGAAGGTGCAAGTCCTTTCTTCTGGCCACAAAGAGCTCCAGTGCACTTGAAAGGGGCCCTCCTTGAGGACCTGGGACTAAGGTCAAGGACAACGCCTGGAGTGACTGCGGAGCCTTGGCTTCTTGTGCTGTTATTGCTGATAAGCATCTTGCCAGAGAACACTTGCCCCATCTAAGACTGTGAATTTGACTCAGCATTTCCTCCCCTGCTGCCCTAGGGCTCTGGTCGTGAGGTTCCTTCTACTCGGAATGTGCCACCCCCCCTCCCCAATTGGGTGAATTCCTACCCCTCCTTTAAAACTGGGCCCAAACTTCACACGCATCCTTTGATGCCGCTCCCTCTTCCCTAGGTGGAGTCCACTAATACTCTGTATTTCTATGGGACCTGTTCCGGATCTCCACAGCACTGGAAGCTTTTAAAAATTACAAGGATCGCAGGCCAGCTGAAAATCTGTCCCCTTTCTAGAAGCGGTCTTTGCTTATAAATTTGGGGTTATATATCCCCATATCTTTTCTGCTGTGTATGTGTGTACATTTTTTAAAATAAAAATAGAATCATTAATAGTTCTTATGCTGAAATTTGCTTTCCTCACTTAACAATAAATTATGGAATTCACATACATGAGCATATATATACCTACCTCATCCTTTATTCCATTTAGAGGTACCATTGTCTGTTTAACTATGGGCAGACATGCAGACAGTCTCTAATGTTTTGCCCTAGTGAATACCTCTGCACCCACCTTTATGACTTGTAAGTAGGAAAGTATGTGGTGCTTTCCTATCTCAGAACTTTCATACCCACCAGGACTGGGGACCAAACTGAAACTTAGGCCTGTGCCCTGACTGGGAATCAAACCAGGTGAACTGTCACTTGGCGTCGCCCACTCCACGGGGCCACCCCAGCCAGGGCGTGTCTGAGAACTCTTGACTGTGTACTTCCCTTAGTCTGGATAAGTCTCCATTGTTCTCCGCCCATGTGATCCCTTCAGGATTTGGCTAAGGCCTCTCCCCGCTCCCCCGAGGGAAACTTTTACACCTGCTCCAGGTGCCCATGTGGTCGCTCTCTTCAGAACAATGTTAACGTTGCTTCTTCCGTCTTTTATCCGGTCAGTCTGCAGCCTCACTCGCATCGTCATCATCGTCTGGAGTGTTTTTCCATCTCTCTACTTGTTTTGTGTCTTTGCCTGTACGGACTTGGTTTTATCTCCCGCAAAACACAGAGTAAGTTCTGAAAGGTAGAGGCGCACCTGCCCCTGTCTGCATGCACGGAGCCACGATCCGTCTGCGCTTGAGAGGATTAATGTTCTGTTTCTCCAGAATCTTTTTTTTTTTGTTTATCTCTTTCTAAATTTTTCATAGATATGTATATTTATCAAATAGAAGTCATGCTGTAAATACTGGTTTTATAACCTATTTTTTCTTTTTTTCCTATTTATGTATTTTTTTTTTCCAAATACATTTGTCTCTGCCAACCCCCCGCCACTTTCCCTTGCCCCCTCCCTCCCTCAACTCTTCCCCTTTGGTTTTGTCCATGAGGCCTTGCTATATGTTCCTTGACTTGCCCCTTCTCTTCCTTTTCCCTCACCCACCCCTCCCTCCTTCCCTCTTGTCTCTGTTGGTTTCTTTTCCTTTCAGTGTTGCTGGTCTTATTTCCCTTGCATCTTTGTATTGTTGGTTAGGTTCCGCTTATAGGTGAGATCATATGGTATTTGTCTTTTGCTCTCTGGCTTATTTTGCTTAGCATAATGCTCTCCAGTTCCATCCATGCTGTCGCAAAATTTAGTAGTTCTTTTTTTCTTTCTGCTGCATAGTATTCCATTGTGTAAATGTACCATAATTTTTTGATCCAATCATCTACTGATGGGCATTTAGGTTGCTTCCAACACTTGGCTATTGTAAATTGTGTTGCTATGAACATTGGGGTGCATAGGTTCTTTTGAATTGGCGTTTTGGGATTCTTAGGGTATAGTCCCAGCAGGGGAATCACTGGATTGAAAGGCAGTTCCATTTTCAACTTTTTGAGGAAATTCCACACTGCTTTCTGCAATGGCTGCACCAGTCTGCATTCCCACCAACAGAGTACTAGGGTTCCCTTTTCTCCACAGCCTTGCCAGCACCTGTTGTTTGTGGATCTGTTTATGATGGCCATTCTGACTGATGTGAGGTGGTACCTCATGGTGGTTTTGATCTGCATTTCTCTGGTGGCTAGTGATGCCGAGCATCCTTTCAAATGTCTCTGGGCCCTCTGTATCTCTTCCTTAGAAAAGCATCTGCCCAGGTCCTTTGCCCATTTTTTGATTGAATCATATGTCTTCTTGGAGTGGAGTTGAGTGAGTTCTTTATATACCTTGGAGATCAAACCTCTATCTGATGTATCATTAGCAAATATATTTTCCCATAGAGTTGGCTCCCTTTTCATTTTGCTGATGTTTTGTTTAGCCGTGCAGAAGCTTCTTATTTTGATGAGGTCCCACCTGTTTATTCTTTCCTTTATGTCCCTTAGGAGACATATCGGTGAAAAAATTGCTGCGTGGGATATCTGAGAGTTTCCTGCCAATGTTCTCCTCTAGGACTTTTATGGTGTTGCGACTTATATTTAAGACTTTTATCCATCTTGAGTTTATTTTTGTGTATGGTGTCAGCTGATGATCCAATTTCACTTTTTTGCATGCAGCCATCCAGCTCTCCCAACAGCATTTGTTAAAGAGGCTATTATTGCTCCATTTTATGCTTCTGCCCCCTTTGTCAAATATTAGTTGCTCATATAGACCTGGGCTTATTTCTGGGCTTTCTATTCTGTCCCACTGGTCTATGGGTGTTTCTCCAGAATCTTTAAAATGAGAACTGGGCCATTGTCCTCTAAACTGCAAGGTTTAAAGTTTTCTTTCTTTTCTTCTTTTAGCCATACTTCCCATTGCCTCCAGCTGCTGCACCGAGGTCTCCCAACATATTTCCAGAAGGCTTCTGGAGAGAGTGAACGTCTGTCGCATTCAGAGAGCTGATGGGGACTGTGACTTGGCTGCCATCATGTGAGTGGAGGTCTAAAGCCGCACGGCGACCATTTCTTGGAAAGGTTCTGCCCGATACACCAGATGCAAATGGTCACTGAAGCGGGGAGGGGACAGTCCACAGTTTACCTTTCCTCCCCTGCTCCTGGACTTATGCGTGACCCCTGTTCCTGTGCTAGGGTGTCCGGAGCCCCACACTGTCCCCTACGATACCCAGCGCAGGGCTGAGATCAGGGCTAAATGCCTTCAGCCACTGAACAAGGCACACAACTTTTCCAAGCAAAACAGGGACATTCTGAAGGAAAAAACAAATGAAGAAAAATAAAAACAGAAGGTGACTGCTCTACTTCATGGCTCTAACTGTAGCTTTCTCCAGGCCAGCATGGGGGGTGCCGTCCTTTTTACCCCTGAATTCATCGAGGGGGAGTGTGAGGGTCAAACAGAGGGGCAGAGATGGCTGCACCCGTCACAGCTGCCACCTGTCCTCCAGCTCGGTTGCCGCCCGTCTTTGCTCTTGATTCTGGGCTGTTGGCTCATGGTGAACCCTCTCACCCCGTCCTACCCTCACCCGTGGCTCGGTCACTGAAAACGTTAGACTCTGGTGGACTCAGTGGCTCCGTAGAGACTGTACAGTCTGAAACGCAGTGGTGTTTTGCAAATCTGGATGCTGACATCAATGCTGAGAGGAAGGCATCTGTGAGCGCCACATCGCTCAGGAGACCGAGGTGACCACGGGGTCACAAAGTCCACCTGGTGTTAGGGTGGCTGGTGACGCGGCTGTGAAGGAATCCACACAGAGAAGAGAGTGCAGAGAGCAAAGTTTTTATTTAGTGTCCAAGGAAGGAGAGGGGCTTGGCGTGGAGAGATAGGCCAGCATTGGGAGGCGGGGGCTTGGACCTTTTATTGGGCTATAGCTGGGTTAGAACAGGGTGGGGGTGCTGTTGTGTGGCCCCGGGACTGTGGGGATATCGAACCGAGGCCCAGTTTGCTCCAGGGTTCTCTTCCGCCGGCGGCTGTGGGGAGCAGTTAGTTCTGTTCTTGCTTCCAGTCATTTCCAGCCCTGGGGCCATTGGCTCAGAAGAGTACATTGGCAGCCATGTTTAACACGGTCCTAGGCCTGCCCGGCTGAGGGCGCCTCGCCAACCGATGGCGCTGGCTTTACCCTTGAACCTGATGACAGGCGACTAGTGAGCAGCTTTGCTCGGAGCACTGTGTCCTTCCCAGGGCTCTCAGCAGCGATGGTGGGACGAACCACGCACGCCCCCCGAAACCCCCCCGACATGCAGCGGCTTCCACTGGCAGCGACAGCACAGTGGGCATCACGCTGGCAGGCCGCTCCTCACACCGCCTGCGGCTCCAGACGCGGCTAACGAGCCACTCGGCGCTCCCTGCGCTGGGCTACACGTAGGCCCACGGCTTATCCCTGAGCGCCTGAGCGGCTGGGGAACCTGCTTACTTACTCATGAATTCGACACATACTTATTGATTAGGAGTTAGGTGCTGAGCACAGTTGTGTGTGCTGGGGATGCCCCAGTGACAAAAGAGGCCCCGTCCTCCCTGAGTCTGCGGGGACTCTGCTCCGGCGGCCCCTGCAGGCCACCCTCTGAGAGTCAAGACACGTTTCCCGCCTTCCCAGAGGGAGCCGTCTGTGACCCAGCTTTGAGACACACTGCTCCAAGGCAAGGCTCTTCGGAGTCCAGAGGAAGAGTGTGTAAGGTGTCGCTGATACACTTCCTTCACGGCCGGGGGCTGCAAAGCCCCTGAGGTTCAGGGGTACGAAGGTGTGAGCGCGTTTCTGGGGCGATGGCCCGCCCGGTTTCCTGAGTGGCTGGCTGTGTGGGGGAAAGGAGGGGACCAAGTGCTTCGCAGCGTCTCCTGAGTTCACACCACCTAGCGGGCTCCCTCCAGCCGCTCGGGGACCTTCCGAGGGATGCTTCAAATTCCCAAATTCTTCAAAAAACCTTAGTAAATGCCCGGCCATAATTCTATCCGTTTTTTAAAAATTTAGTCTTAATATGTAGTGCTGGAGGGTGCAAATTCATAGGCAGTTCATGGATAAACCAGGCTCTGGAAAGTTAGAAACTTCTGGATACTTGGGGCAGGTCTCCCTGGCTGCACTGAATCTGCCCAAGGCTGCTCTGGCTACTCTCAGAACCGTCATCTCCTCCATTTTCAGTTCCTTTCACCTCATTGGCATATGTTGCCTCAGGCTAAAGAGGGCCTCGGAGTTTGTAAGGGCTGCCTGAGACTCCCCGGAAGGCACGGGGCAAGGCCCACCGGAAGTTTCCGGGTGTGCACAACAGCAGGGGGCACGTGCGAGGATTATCGGGGACACTGACTGTTGGTGGCAGGGGTTTCAAGGCAGTGTCTTGGGGGCAAGCAGATGCACGTTAGAGGCCTAAAGTGTAGGAGTAGAGATGACGTGAGGGAAAATGTGACTTAAAAAAAAATAAGTCTTCATTTTAATAAGGACTCGATTTTAATGTAAGGGAAAACATGCAGCCAGTCACTTGGATCTAAAAATAATTTCTTTATTCAAGTACAAGTTTGTAAACTGACATTTTTGGGCCAATGAGACAATGGAAAAATATAGAGTAGTTATGATCTTGTCTCAAAAAAGATGAAATTTAACTAATGTCTCCCTAATAAATTCAATGAAAAAGAGGGAATCCTTTTGAAGAATGCTGCTGTGCTTATAGAATCAATAAATCAAAATAAAAATATCTGTTGGAATCTTTCATAATACCGATAGAAATTTTTAATGTTTTTGATGTATTAGGACTATGTCTTCATTTTAGTGCTTGTTAACATCAGCATTACACAATTTTTTAAAAAGATTTTACTTATTTATTTTCAGAGAGAGGAAGGGACAGAAAAAGAGAGAGTAATATCAATGTGCAAGAGATACATCTATCAGTTGGTTGCCTCTTGCACACCCCCAACTGGGGACCTGGCCTGCAACCCAGGCCTGTGTCCTGACTGGGAATTGAACTGGTGACATTTTGGTTCACAAGCCAGCTCTCAATCCACTGAGCCACTCCAGCCAGGGAGGAAAAAAATTTAAGGTTAAAAAAAGATGAAATGTGACTACGGAGTATATTTTACTCATAAATCACAGATCTTCTGTATTGTGTTTCCTGAAATACAACATAAATAGATAAAAATTATTTTCAAATTGTTTTACTACAAAACATGACTACATTATCCTTTAATTTTGAATGTGTACAAAGATGTCAAAGGTTTGAAACAAATGTTTTAGATGCAGAAGACACTGCAGGTGTTGTAAATATAATTCCCCACTAGACTGATGTCTCACTAATCACAACCACCTGATATAAATTAATTTACAGCAAACTCACCGGATTTCTTTCCTTTTCCTTTTTTGCCTAGAAATATGTCCTTTGTCTTCTACCCTATCGATAATCATTATAATTGTTGATATCTGAGACGATTTCTTTCTTTAAAAATCCCTCCACAGCGACTTCATTAAAGAGCTTCTGGATGTTTCTAGACATAAACACAATGCGAAGGTGTCTCTTTCGGGCAGAGGACTGGGGTTTCTTGAATCACGTAGTCTGCTGGAAAGGAAATTTGGGACAGTTACAAAGGGTTAGCTGGGAGGCTTGAGTGTGTTTTCAGAAGTGGTTGTTAAGGGCTGTTGTGCTTAGAGAAGCAGGTAAAGACATAAAGTTTAGGGAACAATTATGGATACAATCTCGATGGCAGGGCCACCTCTTTGGGTTCATTTGTTCGTTACCCTCCTGTGGGCAAAAGGACCAGGGGATCGGCCTGTGATTTCTTAGAGTCAAACTTTCCACCTAGAAATTCCCAGTGCGTGTGGGCTGCGGGGGGAGAGGGCACGCCCACCAGAATCCAATGGAGCTGGGGGAGGGCAGGGACTGTGCGGGAGACCACCTTCTTGCCAGCGTCACCTCATCTCTTCTTATCCTGAGGGGATACCAATGGAGGTTCAAGCACTCTTTCGGCTGTAGGATTTTGAATGTGAGAGCATCTTGGGTTTAGAGGCTGAACTCTCCCTGGGTAAGCCTTTGAAAAGGACCCCGCACGGCAGCTGTGGCCTCCTTTCCTCCGGCTCACCATCTCCCTGGGTCTCTCTCTCTGCCTCTGTCCCCGTCCACGTTGCCCTTCGGCTGGTGCCCCTCCCAGGAACCCTTCACTCCCCGCGGAACAATGGAGTTGAGCCCTGACCCTCTTCCGTGGAAACCCTGGACTTGTCTGGCTCTCCGCGGAGTCTCTCTGCTCAGGTCCCCACCGACATCTGGGGACAGAGAGGCGTTTAGGCCTTTGGGAAAGGTAGGAACTTCACTCTTTTTTGGTTCTAGTTTTTCACTTGATTAGTGCTATTGCCAAGTTTCCTCTTCTCAAAGCTGAAGGCAAACCCGTGGCCATGGTGAGAGGTAGCTTTTCTCTTGAAGGCTCTCAGTGTAACACGGAGAATGTATTGTCCTGTTAAGATGCCTCCCTTCTTTCAAACAAATATTCCCACTTGTTGGCTTGATTATGCGCAAACTATTCAAACCTTTCCCAGCTGTTCCTCCCATTTCAAGAGTCAACACACAAACTGATACCTCTTGAGTCATTTGGAGAAATGGCAGCTCCACCCTTGGTTCCACCACTCCCCCAAACAGGACTTCACTTATCCAGACATAGAAATACTGTATATGTAGAGCCAGCAAGATTTGCAACATTTAATAAAAACTGCATGGTATCTGATGAGGCATTAAAAGTCACAGTATCTTTCATAGTAAGAATTTTTTTTAAAGATTTTATTTATGTATTTTTAGAGAGAGGGGAAGGGAGGGAGAAAAAGAGGGAGAGAAACATCAATGTGTGGTTGCTTCTCCAGTGCTCTGTACCTGGGACCCCGCCTGCAACACAGGCACGTGCCCTGACTGGGAATCGAACCAGGGACTCCTTGGTTCGCAGGCCAGTGCTCAGTCCACTGAACCACACCAGCCAGGGCAGGAATTCCTCTAGTTAGTAGAAATTGGGAATACTGTTCAGGGGGTCTGCCCCCCCAAAGTCAAATTCTCACATAGAAAAAGGAAAAGGTAACAAATTCTGAGATGTGGCATAGATCTATAGTCCATTACAATATTAAGGAAAACCTAGAATGTTTCAGTTGATTGTTTTGTTGGAAACAAAACCAGACTGTCCTTAATGTTGAACGATTTTCGCTGCATACCTACAACTAGTTCCTGAATTCCTACTGTGAACAAGGTCTTTTCAAGACACTTCCAGACTACTCCTCTCTCAAAGAATAACACCACGGCAAAAGGAGAAAGTTGGAGACAAGAACTCACATAAAAGACGGGGTCACCCAAGGGCCAGAAGAGAGACGAGGGTCAGGGCCACGGAGACTCGGAGGGAAAAAAGGGCACTTAGCTGAGAGGGTCTAGGAAAACCTGACTGAGCAGGGTGTGTCTGAGACAGGCAGTGAGGGCTGAGTCGGCTTTGTTGGATGGAGCTTGGGGTCCAGAGAGGGATTTGTTTTCACTTGGTTTTTTCCCTCTGCCTCCTCTCCCGCCTTCCCGCTCCCTCCTCCTCCCTCCTCCCTCCCCACTTCTCCCCCTTCTCCTTCCAGTACCTTCTCCTTCTTCCTGCTGTGTGTTCTGCTGCTCCCTGAGGAACCACAGGCAGCAGCAGTGTAGTGAGGATTCAACTTTCTGGTGCTCAGTGTTAGGATTCATTCCCAAGAACAAGCTGTGTCTGGAAGCGGGAACTGCCGGCACGTCACTAAGTGCTTACGTGTGCTTTCCATTCGTGTGCTTTCCATCTGTGTGCTTTCCATCCGTGATTTTTGCCTTCTCTTTTCGGCAGCCTTCACATCAAGCGCAGAAGAATCTGTGTCAGCCCCCACAGTCACGCTGTTAAGCAGTGGATGAAAGGACAAGCAGCCAAGAGAAATGCCAAAGGCCACATTTGCCACAAGAAGAAACACCACAGAAAGAGGAGCAGCAAAGGGGCGCATCCGGGGCACAAACTACGCGGCCCCTGAGCTCCTTCTCCGAGACGGCCCAGGCGAACCTGTGAACACGTTCCTGACGTGAACTTGGCCGCGGCGGGTTATAAATTTATCCTGGGAATGTTCCTTCTTGGGAGCCAACAAGGAAGAATAAAATGATATTTGTTAAAAGGATGTGCAAATATAGCCAATAATATACTCAACTGAAAAATGAAATGAAGAAATAACACTTATCTTCATATAATATTTTAAGAGCACAGTGTACAGATGTTATTTCTTCAACTTTTTTTACTATAAAGTTTTCTAAACTGGGAAGTTGAAAGAATGGTACAGGGAATGCCTGTATTCTTGCCATCTAGATTAGTCATTGTTAATATTTTACCACATTTGTTTCCTCTCTCTCTCTCTCTGTATGTATGTATATAAAACATTATATATAAAAGTATATAAATTGTTTTGCTAAACCACTGGAAAATAAGTTGCAAACATCATGATACTTCACCCCTAAATTTCTTTTTACTGTTACAACTCAGCATCCCTCAAGAATAAAGACAGTTCCTATATAATCACATTATCAGCTTTACACCTAAAAAAATTAGTGTCAGATCTGTATATTCCACATTCAAATTTCCCCAACTATTTCCAGAGTATTTTATATAGTTTTCTCAATCTCTCAATCAAGGTTTACATGTTGCAATTCATTGTTCTATTTCTTTAGTATCTTTTGATCTAAGACAGTCCCTCTGCCTTTTTTCTTTCTTCCCGTGGCATAGATTTCTTTAAAAGTCTACCGGTTTGTCTGTCATGAGTGTGCCGAGGTTCAACATTTGCAGGAAGAATGCCTCCCGTGTGAGTCTGTATATTTCTTATTGCATTGTTTGGATTTTGTAAACGTTGAAGCTCATTTTCCATGTAGAGAAGTTTTAGCTGAATATCACTCTAAAACACCTAGTTCAAATAACTACTGTTGATAATTACTGACTGATGCTGGAAAAAAAAAATATGTCTGCTTTGCCCCAGAAGCCGTCTACCCCCTGCCGGTCCTCAGAGCCCTGGGGGTGGGGGGGTCCGGAATGGGGTCCCATGCTGGATGATGTTACACTGCCCCTAAACAAGGAGCCTCCATCTTTTAACTCCTAACCACCTTTCCCACATGTTGTGGGCTGGCCCTTTTTTGGCTTCCTTGGCCACAGAAGCTTCGGGTGCAGAGTCAGACCTGGTTTCATCAACAGCTGTTAGTTGTCAAGAGCACACATCCACTTCGCCAGGTGTCAGGAGTCCTGTCCCTGTCCCGCTGGCCCGTCCCAGGCACCAGTGTCACCAGGATGACTTGGAAGTGATAAGGGACACAATGAGGTACTGAGTCTGATGGAGTTTGAAGCATCGCCATCGACCTTTGTCTAACACTGCTCATTGACAATAATTTTTTTATTGTTGTTCAAACACAGTTGTCTCCATTTTCCTGCCACCGCTTTCCCCCCGCCCCCGACGCCCACTCTCAGTGCTACCCCTCTTTGGCTTTGTCCATGGGTCCTTTATCATTTAGCAGGTGATTTACTTACTTTCACCCATCATCCTGTGTTATACTGCTATTTCTACTTTTTGGATAAGGAAACCTGAGGCTCAAAGATGTTAAATACTTTGCCTAAGGTCACGCAGTAAGTGGCCAAGATAAGCCTTGTGGTCAGGTCTCCAGACTCTTCCTGTTCTCTTATCAGGCCCAGCAGAGGGCCCTGGACGGCCCGGAGGTGGGGCAGAGGCAGAGGAATTCAGATAGAGATCGGTGCACCTGGTGCTTCCCTGCGGAAGCCTGCTGACAGTTTGACCTTAACGCGAGCTGCAACAGGCGCTGGAGGTGCCGATACTAGCAAGCACCATCTTCGCAGAGGACAGCAGGCCCCAACCTGACTTTGCTGAGCATCCCAACCTTAGGCAAGGGAGAAGATTGCACGCTATTTGTCACCTTTGTTTTGCAAAATCCGCCTCACCAGGTTCTTCAACTTAAAGACAGGTTAGGTAAAAAAAATTGAGCATTCTTCCCCTCAATCCCATTGAGCTTCTCCCTATGATCATATGATAATACAGGGGATCTGAGGAAAACAGTTTCTCAATGTCCTAGTTGCTTCAGGCCGCTGTAACAAAATACCAGACTGGTGGCTTAGAAACAGCAAGTGTTGATTTCTCACAGTCCTGGAGACTGGGAAGTCCAGGGCGGCAGCCTTGGCAGATTTGGGGTCTCATGGAAGCTCTCTGCCGGGTTGTAGACAACGGGCTTCTCGCCATGTCCTCGCCTATTGGTGGCAAGGACGAGGGGGCGCTCTGGCCTCCTTTTTACAAGTCTTCAATCCCATTCATGAGGGCCCTGCCCTCCACCCTCACGCCCTGAAGACTTCCATCCACCAATACCAACTTTGGGGGGTTAGGGTTTCAACAAAGGAGTCGGAGGGGGACACAAACATTCAGACCACAGCATTGTCATCCAACGGCATCAAATGGCAGGACCTTTTTTTTTAGAGAGAGAGGGGAAGGGAGGGAAAAAGTGAAAGAGAGAAACATCGATGTGTAAGAGATACATTGTTCAATTGCCTCTCGCATGCCCGCAACAGGGCACTTGGCCCACAACCCAGGCCTGTGCCCTGACCTGGAATCAAACTGGTGACCTTTTGGTTTCCAGGCGGTGCTCCATCCAGTGAGCCACACCAGCCACGGCAAATTGAAGGTTCTAAGAGCCACAGAAAGAGATAAACATCCAATATCTGTAGCCTTTTGTATAGGCCCTAACTGGGGACTGAACCCGCAACCTAGGTATGTGTTCTGACCCAGAATCGAACCCTCAACCTTTTGGTGTGCAGGATGATGCCCGATTAATTGAGCTACACTGCCAGGGCTATATGCTATATTTTTAAATTTTGATTTTACTGACTTCTGGTCAAGAGGGAGGTGTGTGCAGACATGCTTCATTTCCTCGTGCAACCATAGGGAGAATTACAAACACATCTCAGAACAAATAACACCCAGAACTGTCAGAAGATCGAGTGGTATGGAAGTCTGGCAACCAAGGATTTAAAGAGGCCACATTCGTCCAGATGGGGAGGAGGGGCGGAGTCACAGACAGGATGAGAGGTGGCAGCAGCAGCGGGGGAATGGACACTCACATGTGGTAGATAAATATCAGGAGGGGCACGTTGAGAACTAGCAACCCCAGCCCCAGGCCAGGCTGCACAGCCAGGATTCCAGTGCCAGGAAGATAAATCCCCATAACTTCTGGCTGTAAAAACCAGTGGGGGTTGGGGCTGTGGAAGAAACTGCTGGACTTTTGTTGCTTAAAGGGCCTGCATGGACTTAGTACTATGCGAACCCACCCACTCTGGGGTTCAGCACCAGAGCAGCATCTGGAAGTGCACCAGTCGCATCCAGGGAGTGGGTGAAGTGACTGGAAAAGGGGTGAGTGCCAGGCAAACCTCCCGAAGCCAGGCAGCGGCCTTGTCCCCTCTCCAACCCTTCACCCTGCACAGAGCCACAGAGCAGTGAAGCAGGTTGCCCCACACTGGCAATTACCTAAGGCTGCACCCCACAAATTTACAGGTGCCTTTTCTATATAAGCCACGCTACTAAGATGGGGACTCAAAGCAGCTCTACCTAATACACAAAAACAAATTCAGGGAGGCTCTCTAATTGAGAAGACAAAGAAGTATGGCCGAAATGAAAGAACAGAATAAAACCCCAGAAAAAGAATGAAACAGAGATAACCAACCTATCAGATGCAGAGTTCAAAACACTGGTGATCAGGGTGCTCAGAGAACTCCCCAAGTTTGGCAACAAAATAAAGAGACCCAGGAAAAAGTGAGGGTCACACTAAGTGAAATAAAGGTAAATCCACAGGGAACCAACAGTGAAGGGAAAGAAGGCTGGATTCAAATCAACGATTTGGAACAGAAGGAAGAAATAAACATTCAATCAAAACAGAAAGAAGAACAAAGAATTCAAAAAAATGAGCATAGGCTTAGGAACCTCTGGGACAACTTTAAGCATACCAGCATCTGAATCATAGGGGTGCCAGAAGGAGAAGAGGAAGAGCAAGAAATTGAAACCTTATTTGAAAAAATAATGAAAGAAAACTTCCCTAATTTGGCAAAAAAAGTAGACATACAAGTCCAGGAAGCACAGAGAATCCCAAACAAGATGGCCTCAAAGAGGACCCTACCAAGACACATCCTAATTAAAATGCCAAAGGTTAAAGATAAAGTGAGATTCTTAAAGACAGCAAGAGAAAAGCAACTAGTTACCTACAAAGGTGTTTCCATAAGACTGTCAGCTGATTTCTCAAAAGAAACTTTGCAGGCAAGAAGTATTCAAAGTGATGAAAAGCAAGGACCTACAACTCAGATATTCTATCCAGCAAAGCTGTCATTTAGAATAGAAGGGTTGATAAAGTGCTTCCCGGACAAGGTAAAGCTAAAGGAGTACGTCATCCCCAAGCCATTATTACATGAAATGTTAAAGGGACTTATTTAAGAAAAAGAAGAAGATCAAAACCATGAACATTAAAAAGGCAACAAATTCACAACTACCAACAACTGAATGCAAACAACAACAACAACAACAACAACTAAGCAAACAACCAGAACAGGAACAGATTCCATGGTATGGAGACCATTTGGAGGGTAATTAGCTGGGAGGGGGAATGGGGAGAATGGGGGGAAAGGTACAGGGAATAAAAAGCATAACTGGTAGTCTTTTTTTAGAATATATTTTTAGTAAAGTAATACAAGTGTGTAGTAAAAAAATAATCAAAGGTACAGCAGAATTTATAATGAAAACAAAATAGACAGGGGGATGTTAAGAACAGTATAGGAAATGGAGAAGCCAAAGGACCTACAGGCACAACCCACGGACATGGACTGAAGGAGGGGGTGGCTGGAGGGGAGGCGGGTACTGAGTGGAGGGAGCAAAGGGGGAAACACTGGGACGACTGTAACAGCATAATCACTAAAAGATACTTAAAAGGTTTGTTTAAATTTTACTGTAATGCAGATAATTAAACTTTCTCTGAGGACCATGTGCAGTTTCTGAAGGAAATTCCACTTTACCGGCTCTGACATGGGCCTATTAAAGTATCATTGTGTTACCCATACTGTTTGGGTCACAGGATTAATCCCATAAGGTTTTTTTAGATTATATTTTTATTAAAGTAATACAAGTGTGTGGGGGAAAAAAAATATATATATATATATAAAAATACAGCAGAATTTATAATGAAAAACAACATCTCTCACTCTAGCCTCCCTAATCCCAGACCTACTCCTTTGGCACAAACTCTTTTAACCTTTGTTTGCTTTTCGCTT